GGGTAGTTCATGCTCATTGTAGACACATTGAAAAATTCTGAAAAAGATTCAAAGGAAAAAAAAAAAGCACCTGGAATCCCAGCCCCGGAGATGCTCTGATTTTAAACTGGAGTCACATGACCTCTCCGTTCCACCTGGACCAGGGCAGTCCCATGTCCACGTCATTAAACACCGTAACTGCGGCCCGTCTTCCTCTGTTTGAACGCGTGTGGCTGTTGCAAACCTGCAGAGAATCCTTGAGTAGTGCATTTTTAGGTATCTCTATTTTTTTTCCATAGATGCAATTCAAGGAAGTGGGGTTCTTGGCTAGATAGTCTGTGCTCCTGGGTGAGGGGCCTTTAATGGGTGTCTGGCTCCACCCTGGGACATTTCTGCTGCTGGCAGGTGGACAACAGATCTTTTTTATGCGTGGTACCTTGATTAGTCTGGAGGTCGTTTCTGAGTTGCCTTTTAGCATATGAGTCCATCTCCATCCACCTAAGCCATACACATGGCCTGCTGAGGACAGGCCTGAGCCTCCTCCTCACCCTTGGGACCTCACAGCCATAAGGGACCAACAGGGACAACCCCAGAAAAGGGGCTACTGGGTGCACAAGGGGGCAGGGGAGTCCTGGAAAAGTCAACGCGAAGCAGCCCATGCTGGGACCCAGTGGGGAGTGAAGGAAGGTCCTGCAGGACACAGTCTCTGGACGGTGGCCAGCAGGGGCTGCAGGCAGAACTGAGCGGCCAGCTCAGGCTGGGGGTGGGAGGGGGCAGGGACTGGCGTATGGTCCCAGAGGGGATGGGGACCCTGAAGGGTCTGGGGCAGATGAAAACGGCTTGGCTCGTCACACAGGGGCTTGAGGACCAGAGTGGGCCCCGGCCTCCCCACCCAGCCCACAGCAGATGCCACCAACACAGCCCAGCACCCACGTGGACCCAGGACTGGTGGTGGGTGGGGCGCAAAAAGGCCAACAGGACAGACTCTGGAGGGACCTGAGGAGCTCGCCGTCCGCGTTTGTTCACTCCTTCACTCACGCATTCATTCACTCACGCATTCATTCACTCATTCATTCACTCATTCACTCACTCACGCATTCATTCACTCACGCATTCATTCACTCACGCATTCATTCACTCATTCATGCATTCACTCATTCATTCACTCATTCACTCACTCACGCATTCATTCACTCACGCATTCATTCACTCATTCATGCATTCACTCATTCATTCACTCATTCACTCACTCACGCATTCATTCACTCATTCATGCATTCATTCACTCACGCATTCATTCACTCACGCATTCATTCACTCATTCATGCATTCATTCACTCACGCATTCATTCACTCACGCATTCATTCACTCATTCATGCATTCATTCACTCACACATTCATTCACTCATTCATGCATTCATTCATTCACTCGCTCACTCATTCATTCGCTCACTCATTCACTCGTTCTCTCGCTCGCTTGCTCGCTCGCTTGCTGGCCCTCACTGCATTCCTGCATCGCTCACACCTTCACCTGCATTCGGTCATTCCGGCTGCACACTGAGTGCCCACCTGGCCCGGCATTCTGCTGGGCGTGGGGTGGACAGGGCAAGGCTGAGGAGGAGCGGCTCCCACAGCCAGAGAATCAGTGGAGGGGGTGTGGGAAGGCCTGGAGTGTGGTGGGAGGCCCCGCAGGCAGCAGCCTGTGCTGGGGGAAGAGGAGGGGAAGAGGAGGAGGCCATGGTGCTGGAGCCAGGGGGGTGGGAGGTGCCGCCGCCTGGGTCAATCCCAAGAGCACTGAAAACCAAGGCCCTGCAGGGTCAGCACTCTTGCCGCGCTCAGTCCCATGACAGGGAGGAGAGTTAGTGGGGCGTGGACGTCAGGAGACGAGGGAGAGGGGAGGGCAGCAGTGGGGTGGGGAGTAATTAGGAAAGTTGGCCAGGCCCGGAGGGGTCAAGGCCGTCCCAGGGCCCTGGCAAGGCTGGCCAGGAGGGGCAGGTGCTTAGGAGCCTGAGGGAGGTGTACCCAAGTGCCAGTGTGGGTCTGTGGCCAGCCTCCAGGTCCAGCTGTTCAGAGAGAACTGTGGGCCTCCAGGTGGCCGCCGAGCCCCCATTGGCAGCTTTGGGTGACCTAGAAGCTTGTTAGAAATGCAGATTCTGGCCCCCTAAGACCCAATTACCAGAAGATGCATTTTAACAAGGTCCCCAGGAGACCCCCTAATGCCTCTAAGCTTGGTCCGAGTGTTGGTGTGGGCATGGGTGGGTCGACGGTCCAGCGGGGCTCGGCTCTGAGGAGAGGAGGGTGCAGAGCCAGGCCCCGAGGACGCCAGAGGGGAGGGCGGGTGCGGGCGGCAGGGAGGCCCCAGAGTTGCCACACACCACGTGAGGCTGGTGAGCAGGGACAGCAGGCCAGGCTCCTCAGAGCATGCAGTCCATCACTTGGGGACAGGCACAGACCCCAGGGGCTTCTGAGAACTGGAAACCCCCAGGGGTCCCAAATGCCAGCCTTGGCTGAGTAGTGTCCTCTTCCCTCCTTCCCTAGGTCCATAGAGACCCCTCCTGTGCTGCGGTGAAGGACAGTGGTGAGGGGCCTGGTAAGGTTTGGGGTGACAGACAGCGGTGAGGGGCCTGGTAAGGGTTGGGGTGACAGACAGTGGTGAGGGGCCTGGTAAGGGTTGGGGTGACAGACAGTGGTGAGGGGCCTGGTAAGGGTTGAGGTGACTGACAGCAGTGAGGGGCCTGGTAAGGGTTGGGGTGACAGACAGCAGTGAGGGGCCTGGTAAGGGTTGGGGTGACTGACAGTGGTGAGGGTCCTGGTAAGGTCTGGGGTGGCTGAGGGATGAGGCCTGGTAGGGGTTGGGGTGCCTGGCGGCGGGGTCTGTGTGGTTTGTGGTGACTGGGGTGGAGCCCGCATGGTTTGGCTCTGGTTTGGCAGGTGTGGCTGAGCTGCCCTCCTGTCCCTGTCCCAGGACCCGTCTCCCCCCATGATGGCAGCACCCCGCAATGGCTTCCACCTGCCCCTCAGGAGGTCCAACAGCCTGTCGTGCAGGGAGGGGCAAGAGCTGGAGCTTGGTGAGTGAGGGGCGCGGGTGCCCGGGCCTCGGAGCGGCAGACCGAGCAGGCCTCTGCCCCGGCCCCTGGCTGTGAGTGCTGTGGGTGCAGAGGCTGCGGGCGCCCTGCTGAGTCAGGCAGAGGCCTCCGAAAGGGATGCTGCGCAGCACAGGGGACAAAGTCCATTCAGACGGTGGCCTTCTGGGTTTCTGTGGTCTCTCCTCTGACAGTGGCATGGGGAAGTGGGCAGAGAGAAACTCCCGGAAGGGCTTCAGTGACCCACCGTGGACCAGAGGCGAGGCTGGCTGTAAAGGCCTCCTGCCTCCGTCTACCTTGCCTGCCCCATCCTCACCCCCTCAGCACTCTGGCCCAACAGAGGACAGCTGAAAGGGGGGACCAGCCACCCCTTTGCCCAGGAAGAAAGTGGTTCCAGAGCGGCCCAGGGAGCAGACGGGGCAGTCTGGGCACCGCCTGCCACCAGGCTGCACAGGGAGCCTCGTGCCTGCCCTCTCTGCCATCTGTCCTCGGCGGCTCCATCCCCTGCGAGGGAGGCGGGCGCGGGTGGAGTCACTGGTAACTCAGAAGTGGAGCCAGCCTAGACCTAGGTGCACTGGGGGCTCAGGGGAAGGCCACACAGATCTGCCCCAGGACATTGTAAACACAAACGTTTGCACTGACTTGTGGCCAAGGGCTGGCAGGAGGGAGGTGACCAGCAAGGACCCTGAGATCCGCCAGCAATGCTGGCACCCGCTCCTACAGACAGCAGCCGATGACGGGGACCGCACTGCACTCACCCAGAAACTTACTCTATTTCCATTTCCAGTGGGATACTGGTTTTGCAGCCTTAAGTTTCTTTTCCTGATTATAGAAATGTTGATTTTCTTTGCAAAAGTGTCAGACAATGGAAATCCACACTCATGGTTGTCATAAAGCTTCCAGACCCTATCTGCTTCTGAGAAAGGACTCCTCTCTGTGCGGTTCCAAACGTGCTGTTTTGCTTCTGTGCTGGGGCTTGCTGGGTGACCCCACCCCAGGGGCGTCATCACGTCCTCCTTCACCCTCTCACCTTCGTGTCACCGGCAGATGAGCAGTCACCGCGCAATCGTGCTCTAATCTGGGTTTCTCTTACTATTGGCGAGGTGGGCGGCTTTTCATTTAGTTATTGGCCCTGGGCTGTCTTGCTCTGGGGGCCGCCCCAGCCTCCGAGGCTGTGTCTGAGCCTGGTGGGGACCTTGCACTGACCGCAAACCCCTTATTGTAGAGGCGGCAACATTTTCTCAGTTTATTCTGTGTGGTGGATTGCTTGAGCCCCAGAAATTGCGTCGCTAACTCTAGAAGTATTTCCGTTTAGCTTCTCTCTCTGATGCTTAGAAAGCCCTTCTCCAGCCCAGGATTACAGATACCTAAACCCGCAAGCTCCCCTGCAAGTTTACGGTTTCAGTTCTGAAACTTGGATACCGCAACTGTCTGCTCTTTGTTTGGGTGCAGGGAGTCGGGTCAGGATCTGGGTTGATTTTTTGTTCCAAGTGATTGCCAGTCACTTTGGCCACATCATCCAATTCACCTTTTCCTGGTTGTTCTGAGGTTTAGTGTCCTGGTTGCAGGACGTGTCCACGCGTCCTGGGCTGGCTCTAAGGATTGCCAGTCACTTTGGCCACATCATCCAATTCACCTTTTCCTGGTTGTTCTGAGGTTTAGAGTCCTGGTTGCAGGACGTGTCCACGCGTCCTGGGCTGGCTCTAAGGCTGGTCCTGGCCCACCTGGCTATGAGCTGACCGGGGGTGGGGACAAGGAGAAGCAGGTGCCAGGGGTCCTGGGTGGCAGGGTCCAGGAGGCCAGGGACTGGCGGGCGGGGTGGGCGCTGCCTCTCTGCTTCCTGGTCCTCCACAGACTACCCAGACGTGGGGCTCCTGAGCGTGTGCTGGGGCGGGCGTCCCCCCTGGGAGGAGAGGCTCGTCGGCAGGATCAGGGCCATGCTGGCCATGCAGCAGAGCATGGTGCTGGAGGCCATCTGCCACTGCCTGGATGAGCATGACCAGGTAAGCCTGGGGACACTCCCAAGCCTGACTGCCATCACTACCACCAAATACCCCGTGGTCCCCACAGGCCTTCGTAGTCCCTAAAGCCCCTGGCACTCTGCCAGAGGGTGCTGGAAGGTGTGACGGGGTCAGGGCCTACCCTGCTGCTGCCCACAAGCACCGGAACAGGCAGAGGCACAGACAGCCCGAGGCCTGGGTGCTGGCCCACCTCTGTGCCCGCTCGGGGTAGGGAGCCCTGCAGTGGCACCCCAGGCCCTAGAATCGGGCAGCGGTCTGGACACAGGGTCTGGGCACCACCCTTCAAGAGCCTCTAGGTTTGGAGCCCACTCTCTGGGGGCAGCCCGCAGGGACCAGCAGGGACCAGGCAGCTGTGGGGGCGGCGCCTGGCACCGAGACAAGCCCGCGCAGCTTCTCTGTCCCCCGCTCTGCATCTCGCCCTAGACCTTTCTCTTCCACTTGTACGGGCTGATCCTCCGGGAATGCACCCACAAGGAGCTGGTGAGGAGGCACCTGGCTTGCCTGCTGGAGTTGTCCCACCAGCCTGCGGGCCAGCGGCAGGTGGGTGGGACCTCTGCCGGTGCGGCTACCGCGGCCCTGCAGCATTTCACTGGGTGCTGACTGGCTGTGACTGTCAAGACCTGCCACTGCATCCTGGCCCTACCTTGGCAGACAGGAGCCCCCCTGGGAGGAGCGGGCCCCTTGGAAGGGCTGGGACATCTGCACTGCCTCTTCAGGATGGGCTCACTGGGTCCTCCGGACTGCAGGGCATGGCACTTGCTGTGGGCGTGGCAGCCACCGTGCACGTGGAGGTGGTGTGGACAGTGCTGGAGCGCCTGGGCCACACCAGGTTCCTGAGGTTGGCCCTCCCTTCCCCAGATAACAAGGTAGAGAGGTCTGGCCACTGGCCGATGCAGGGGAGAGTGGCATGGGGCAGGGAGGGTCCTGGTGCCCCAACCCCTTACAGCCTGGGGAACGTCACTTGTGTCTCTGAGCCTTGGTTTGCTCATTTGTGAGATGGGGGCCTTCTGCACCACCCACTGCCCTGAGAGGCTGGCATGTGGGACTCACCCTGGATGAAGGCGTTCCTTCTCTGCACTTGCCACATGTGTCCTGTCCCTGGGGCCCCATGAGTGGGGGCTTGAGCCACCATCAGGATCTGGGGCTGTGGGGCCTTCCCTGACCTCAGGTGATATGTGTGGCCTGAGCCTGTTTGCTCACCTGCATACCTACCGGGGGGGGGGGGTGCGTTGAGTGGCTGCACGTTCCTGGCCAGTCCCTTCCCTGGGAGCCTCCCTGAGAAGAGCAGACCAGCAAGAGACACCCGAAGGAGGAGGTGCTACCTGGGAAGGCAGGGGGGCTTCCTAGAGGAGGGGGCTGGCACCAGTTCTGGGCACACAGCCCTGCGTGGAGTATGGACACACTGGCCTTCATCCTGAACCTGTGCAGAGGGCTCGAAGCTTTCTCCCGGGGCAGGAGGCAGGGTGGTGGGTGCCAGGGACAGGCCAGGAGCTCAGCGGCCCCCTGCAGGCCCAGCTCCCGCCCACCCACAGCTGTTGGAGCCCAACCTGCACTGGAAATGGGTCAGCAGCACCTGCTTGCTATGCTACGGGCAGATGGCCTTGCAGGCCAGGGAGCGGATCCTGCCCTGGGTGGACAACATTGTCTCCAGGATGGTGTACTATTTCTCCTGCAGCAGCCAGGTGAGCCCCACCACACCCACCGCCCCACCTCGGACAGGAGGAGGGCAGACGGCCTGCACCCTCAAGACCAGCTCAGGCAATGGGCCCCTGGTGGGTGCCCCTCCAGCACTTTACTGGGGTCTGCTCCCAGACCCCGGGTCGCTCTTCATCACCCACCACTCACGGTCCGGCCACCCTGGCTGTGGGTGGCGGCAGGACGGGGCTTGAGCAGCCCAGGTCTGTGAGGCCAGGGAAGGGCGGTGGTTGCCCTCCCTGCACAGCCCTGGGCCTCAGGCAGGGGGGTGCCCTTCACGACCCTGCAAAGGCGGCAGCTCCAGTGCTGCAGACCCAAGTGTCACGCAGGCAGCGAACAGAGAGCAGACATGCTTGTGACTGCCTGTGCCGCCTGGGCTGCCTGGGCGGGGGGCGGGGTGTGTGTGTGTGTGTGTGTGTGTGTGTGTGTGTGTGTTGTATGCACGTTGTATGTGCTGTCTATGCTATATTTACGATGTTGTGTATACGTATGTGGTGTTGCGGGTGTTATGTGTGGTGTGTGTTGTGTGTGCTGTGTGTATTTTGTGTGGATATAGATGTGCTGTGTGTGTGTGAGGGTGTGATCTGGGTGTGTGATATTCTCTGTGTACGTTGTGTGTATGACGATGTGCTCTGTGTGTGTGTGTGGATGCCGTGTGGGTGTGGTGCCCGTGTGTGTGGATGTTGTGTGTATGGGTGTGCTGTGTGGATGCCATGTGGGTGTGGTGCACATGTGTGTGTGCATGCATGCATGCTGTTTGCACCCTGGGTAGGCTGTGTGCTGGGGCTGTGCAGCAGGACCCCAGGGAACGCTCCGCTGACCTTGCCCCGGCACCCACGTGTGCTCGGCAGGACGACATCCTAGACACGAGCTTCCTTTCGGCGGCTGTGATGCTCACGAAGGCCATCGGGCGGGAGGATGGTGCCCAGAACTACAAGTTCACTCAGATTCCCGAGCTCATCGGGTGTCTCCTGGTGAGAGGCCCCCAGGGGCCCTGCCCAGCAGTGCTTGAAGGGACTGCCAGGGTGGGCAGGGGCTGAACAGGCCAGGCTGGATGCCAGACCCTGCCACACTAGCCCCTCATCTGCCCCCCAGTGCCTCCTGCAGAAGGAGCCCAACTTCCTGGCCACCCTCTGCCGGCAGAAGATCATACTGGTCATTGAGGGACTGAGGTAATGCCCGTCAGGTCCAGGGACAAGGATGGCCCAGGCCATCTGAGGATGGAGTGGGGGTCAGCGTGTGAGTGGAGGCAAGCGGGTGGGGCCATCAGACTTGCTTTGTTCTGCGTCCAGGATAGGTTGGCACAGACTGAGCCCTGACCCAGGTTACACATTGAGCCCTGAACCTGGCCACATGCTGAGCCTTGATCCTGGTTACATGCTGAGCCCTGATCCTGGTCACATGCTGAGCCTTAATCCTGGTCACATGCTGAGCCCTAATCATGCTCTGGCCTTGTCACCCCTTGAGTCCTGACCCTGGTTCACCAGCTGACCTCTGATCCCATTCATAGCTCTGAATATGACCCCAGAATAATCCTAAGTATTCTCACTAACGATGTCAATGAACCCAAGAGAACTAAGTGAACGTGTCGGGATGGCTCAGTGCAGCTCCTGTCTCCAACAGGCCCCTCCCAGTCCAAATAGGTCCATTTTTCCCAACAGCACCCCCCCAATCTGAGTCTGAAACCTGTCCCAGACTACTTCCACATTTTGAATTGTGCCAGCCTCTCCCCACTGGGAACCCATTCAGCCAGGCCTTTTATTCCCAGGACTGTGGGCTGTGCAAAAAGTCTAGAATCTTCTCTGTGTCCCTTCTAGCAATTTGCGGCCCCATTTCACACCCATGGTCAAGTCCAGGATCCTGCAGACCTGCCTGAGGAGCTTGTACACACTCCCACCCATGGAGACGTTGAAGAGCAGCTTACCCCCCATGGAGCCAGCCCCGGATGTCATGGTGATGCCTGTCCTGGGGCCATCCTCCCCGTCCTTCCGGGTGTTGGGTGCTGGCCCACTCCTCGAGTCCTTGCCATGTATGGGGGCTGAGGGACAAGAGGAAAGAGCTTTGTTCCCAGCGTGGGTTCCACCCGGGCTTTGCCATGGCCTCTGGTCTTTGGGTTCTGCTCCCCTAAACTGGGGCTCTGGTGTGCGTGCCACCCTCAGTGTTCTGTGAGGTTCAGGTGAGATGCAGGGTCAGGAGCCCCTGACAAGACGTGCCCTGCCCCCAGCTTTTGCTGTCAGGGTCTGCCGCGCTGACAAACAACCCCAAAGCCTCCGGGCTCGCAGCAGCTGCGTGTTTCTTGCCCTTGGGTACAGGGGCCCAGGGCCAGCTGCCTGTGTTCTGAAATCTGAGGACATCAGCCAAAAAATGTTCCCGAGGAGGATAAAGAGGGTGAAAAGGAAAGAGAGTTCAGGACCAGCCCCTGGGGACTGCAGCGATTAAGGGAAATAAGGAAGATGAGCAGCCAGAGAGTGGGCGGAAACCCGGAGGGGACAGAGAGGCCGAGGGCAGGACCCGTGGGTCCCGCTGTGACACTTGAAGCTTGCAGAGCTCGCTCGCACTGGGCCCCTCCGTGGTCTGCAGGTGGCCCAGCCCTGAGGCACGGTGGCCGTCTTCCTCCTGCAGGAGCTGTACAGGAAGACTGCACGTGCGCTCGGCCTGCTGCTGCAGAGCTTCATCTCTGAGAATGAGAGCTTGGACGAGGTCTGCTTCCTCCTGCAGGTGGGTCTCAGGGGGGGGTCCTGGTCCAGGTCTGCCCAGGGTGGGCGCCACACGTGAAGGAGGTGCTGAGCGGGCTAGGCTGGGAGGTGTAGTCTGTGCCACAGACCAAGTGCCCCGCAGGCTGCGCAGCCTAGGCCTTTCGGCTCTTGTAAGGACTGAGGTGGGTACTACAGAAGAGCCATGCACCCTGCCAAGGACAAGCGTGCCCCACTGACCTCACCATCTGGTGCAACTGCGGGCAGCTGGGCCCACTCGGTGTGGAAGCCTCGCCTTGCTGTGGTGTGGGGAGGTGCTGGAGGGCCAGCGGGTCAGCCAGCCTGCTTAGGTCCTCCTGCTGAGAGCTTAGTGGCACCTGTGACCCTCCCTGGGCTCTGTGCTTTGCAAGGACAGATTCCTCCAGCCCACAGGTGGGCATCCATGTCCCCATTTCACAGATAGGGAAATTGGCCTAGAGGATGGGGCTTGGCCCTGACCTCCCAGATGGCTAGAGGCAGAGAAAGGAGCCCACTAGGTCCGTGAGCCCAGGGCCTTGCTCTCACCACAACACAGCAAATGGGGAGCATGGGTCTGTCCCCAGAGGGTATCTCGAGGATTAGAGGGAACATGTGAGGCACACGTAGCAGCGTGCTGGGCACAGCAGCTGTCCTTCTCTGTCCTGAAAGGAACCTGGCCAGAGCTTGGCTGGTCTGCTTGGGAGCAGCCTGGAGCTCAGGACAGGGATGGAGACTCAAGCTGCAGTGCCACCCCAGGGCCTGCAGAGAGGCCAGCTGGGACTGAGGGTGGAGACAAGCCTCGGACAGAGGGTGGCTGAGGGAGGCCGGGCTACTCGGGGACCAAACCTCTCAGGTGTTAAAGGGTTTCTTCTAGTTCGAGGTTGTGCCAAGCTGACTATTCCCACCACATGCACTACAGGCCAGAGGCTGATGTCGACTCTAGTGCTAGCCACAGGGTGGGCCCCGGGTGGCCGGTCCTCAGGCTCTCCCCTCTCTGTGGCAGCACACAGAACACTGGCTGAGGTCGGACAAGAGCCACGAGTGCAAGCGGGCCGTGCAGTCCATCTCCCAGCTCCTGCAATACGTGGTGGACTTTCTGCACATCACAGTGAGTCCCCGGCACCCCACCACCCTCGGGGAGGGAGGGGGCCAGGCAGCCGCTGGAGGAAGGACCAGGGAGTGCTGGTGACCATGACGCCCCCTCCTGGCAGCACTCGCTGGTTGTCGCAGTCGAGATCCACTGAGTGTCTGTGACGTGCTGGATTCTGTGTGGAACAAGAAGATGGTCCCCGCCCCTAGGGAACCTCCAGCCCCAGGGCTGTGGTTGCAATTCACATAGGGTGGTCGGTGGTCGTGGTCGGAGGGATTCTGGATAGGACGGCTACATGGGAGCAAGCACTTGAAGGAGGACGCGGAGGAAGCAGGGGGCTACTGGGAGGAAAGCAGTCTGAGGGAATAGCCTGAGCCCAGGACAGGCAGCCGCATGGGGCAGGGACCTGGGACAGCCGGAACAGCCCTGAAAACGGAGAACTAAGTTGGAAGAGTGTAAACGCATCAACAGAAAAGCACAGGGGTCAAAACAGGCCCCCATTTAAACAGTCATTGGATTTTCAACAGAGGTGCCAAAGCTCTAGATGGGGCGAGGAAAGTCCTTTAAGCGAAAGTGCTGGACACGCGTGCTCCACACGGGGGAGCGAACCTCACCCTACCTCCCACCCAAACCAAGAACAATTCCAGATGGACCGCAGAACTAAACGGAAAAATTAACACCGTAAAGTTTCTACGAGAAAACACAGATTATCTTTACAAACTTGGGATAGGCAAAGATTTCCTAGATAGACTGCAGATGGCAATAACTGTAAACAAAATATGGATAAAGTGGACTTCACTGAAACTAGAAACTTCTGTGCATCAAAAGGCACTGTTAAGGGGCCGGCCCGGTGGCGCACTGCTACAGTGCGCCGCTTGGGAAGCGCGGCGGCGCTCCCGCCCGAGGGTTCGGATCCCACATACAGACCGGCCGCTCACTGGCTGAGCGAGGTGCAGGCGCAACACCGAGGGTTGAGATCCCGTTGCCGGTCCCGGTCCGGTACGGGCGCGACACTGAGGGTTGCGATCCGTTGCCGGTCACGAAAAAAGACAAAAAGGAAAAAAAAAAAAAAGACACTGTTAAGGGAATCCAGAGTCAAGACACAGACTGAGAGAGAATATTTGCGCTGCATATATCTGACGAAGGACTCGCATTCAGAAGATATAATGAACTCCTGCAACTCAATAAGAAGATAACCCAGTTTTTAAAATAGGCAAAAGGGCCGGCCCGTGGCTCACTCGGTAGAGTGCGGTGCTGACGGCACCAAGGCCACGGGTTCAGATCCCTATGTAGGGATGGCCGGTTGGCTCACTTGGGAGAGCGTGGTGCTGACAACACCAAGTCAAGGGTTAAGATCCCCTTACCGGTCATCTTTTTAAATAATAAATAAATAAAAATAAATAAAACAGGCAAAAGACTTAAACAGGGATTTTACAAAGCACATGAAAACGAATGTGCTCAGCGTAATGTCCTAGAGGAAACACAAATTAAAACCACAATGAGATATCACCACTGTACTCGTCTGTTTCTGTTGCTTATAACATAAATACCTGGAATTGTGTGATTTATAAAGAAAATGAAATTTATTTCTTACAGTGTCTGAGGCTGGGAAGTCCAAAGCCCAGGGAACACATCTTGGTGGTGGTGACAGTGGCAGCAGGGTATCACATTGCGAAATAGTGGAGCAGAGAGAGACCAAGTTCCTCCTTCACTCTCTTTTTAAAGCCCCCAGAGCCACGCCCCTGACCTCCATTATTAATCCATTCACTACTGCACGGTCCTACGATCCAATCACCTCTTCAAGGCCCTAGGATTTCTCACCCTTAACCGTCACAGTGGGGATCAACTTCTGGGGGGACATTCAACCCAAGGCAACCACACACCTGCTGGAAGGGTAAAATTATAAAGACTGAAAACGCCGAGAGCTGGCAGGGTGTGGAGCTACGAGAAATGTCACACAGTGCTGGTGGGAGCATAAGATGGCAAAACCACTCGGGAGAGCTTTCAGCAGCTTCTTTCAAAGTTAAACACGTATATACCCTGCAGCCACACAGTTCCACTCCTAGACATTTACCCCAGAGAAATGAAAACACACGTCCATAGAAAGACTCATGCAAGAATACGTGTGATGGTTTTATTCATAATAGCCCCACACCGCAGGCACCCCACATGTCCATCAGCAGAAGAGGGCACAGGCTCATCGTGGGGTCCGCACAACGAAGTGCCCAGCAGCAATGAAGAGGAAGGAAGCGCGGGGATGGACCCCACGACGTGTGCAGCCAAGAAGCCAGGCTCAGGCGGACACACGCTGTGATTCCATCACGTGACGCACAATCACAAGCAAAACTGACTGGAAAAGCAATGGCTTCTGGGCAGGCAGGACTCACCGTGAGGCAGCCCAAGCCGACTTTCCGGGGTAATGGGAATAGTCTATATCTTGGTAAAGGCAGGAAATATACAGATCTGTCCAGTTGTCCAAACTCACTGAATTGTGCACCTAATGATTTGATTATTTCACTGTATTAAAGTTTTACCTTAGACAACAAGCACTGTAAACAAATACTTTAAACAAATTCAGTAGTTTGGTTTTGCAGTGATATTGATTTGCAGCTCTGAAACTTACATTTTAAACGTACAAATGAGGAAATATTTTGAGGGCATGGAAGTCAGGTGTCTTCCTGTTGGAAAAGTTGCAAATATAGATAAGGGTTAAGATTAAAATCTGCCCGTGGTTTCGTATTGGAGCTAGAGGCATCAGTTTGAACTCACGATTTTTAATATACATAGATGTAGATATGTACATATAGACTTAAATATAGCTTCAGTTCTCTGCGTGTGTGTGTGTGTGGTATTGGGGAGAGGGCAGAGATGGGTGTAGGTTCTGGGCATAGTTTGCAGGCAGAGCCAAGAGGAAGTTCTGATAACTCCACAGAGTTCAGCCTGTGCAACTGGAGAAAGACTGAGTTGGCGCCACCCGAGAGGGGCGATGTCTGCCACTGCAGCATGTTTGTTGAAGTGGGGGGTGGGGAGCAGATCAGGTCTTTTGCAGGCTTGTTGGGCATGAGATGTCCAAGAGACAAGCAAGCCTGGATCCTGAGCAGGCAGGTGGACAGGCCAGTCTGGAGGTGAGTGCTCAGGCTCAGCCTGGGGAGGTAAGCTTATCTGGGAGGCAAGTTTAACTTTTCGAAAAGGCATCCAATATAGATTTGTTGAAGGGATGAACTCATGAATAAAAAGAAAGCCTTGAGAACACCAGTAACTGAGAAAGGTGCCCTAGAGGGCTTTAGCTTCATTACCCAAAGCTGAGGAAGCAGATGCCACATGCTCATGTGAACAGCAATGCCACACACATGTCCTCGTGGGGAGGCAAATCCCAGGTGATCACAGCGTGCACAGGAGGAGTGTGTCCTCCCACCCAGAATGCAGACCTCCTCTGTGTCCACTGCTCTGTGCACTCGATTCAAACTCAGCCCAGCCCCACACACTTAATTTAAGCCTACCTTGGCCCAGCCTCAGGGCAGCTTGCTGCCCAGGTCTAAACCTCACTTTGGCACACAAGCAGTTCTCGCCTATGCCAACTCCAACTGCATAAACTCCCCAGGTCTCCAAGGCTGGACATTAGAGGCAATGCTGCAGAAGTCACCCCTCACCCTCCACCCTTTGGTTGTGAAGAGTGCAGGAGGCATACAGTACAGTTTTTTATACTACTTTAACTGAAGTAAAATTTGCATATGGTAAAATGAAAAAATTTAAGTGGACAGCTCAGTGACTTTTAAAAACTATAAATGTATCAAGATTGACAACATTTCCAGCATCTCAGAAAGTTCCCTTGTGCCTTTCTCCAGTCACTACCCACCACCTCCCCACCTGCGCCCCACTGCAGTAGCTGCCCGTCAGTCTTGCCTCCCAGTGTAGGCAACTGTAAAACGGGTCAGAACACAGGCAGCACGGGACTGTAAAGCTAGAGGAAGGAGAGAGGTGGGGAGGGCCCCACGGTCAGGCCAGCTTTCTGCCTGAAGGCATCGTCTGTTCTGAAGCCCTGGCAGCAGGATCCCTGATGCTGAAGAGGCAGAGATGGAAGTTCAGGGATTTGGAGGGAGCTGGAATCTGAGTCCTGGGGAGAAGGCGGTTGTGCAGAAAAGGAGCTCCAGGTTGAGCAGCTTCCTCGAACAGCCCATAAAGGCCAGGCCTTAATAATAGGGGTATTCCAGTCCCAGAGTGAAGGCTACTCTCCATCTGCCCTAACGAAAACTTAAGCCCAAGCCTCAAAAGGATCAATGAAGTGCCTATTGGAATAAAATTCAGCAGAACACTCACAATGTCCAGCATACAATAAAAAATTACTTGACGTGGTGAAGAGGTAGGAAAATTCACTCATAATCAGGAGAGAAACTATTTAGCAGAATTAGACCTATAAATGACAGCTATTATAAATATGTTCAAAACTTTAAAGGAAAACATAAATGTAATGAAAATAGTCATGAAATATCAATAGATAAATGGTGACTGTTCAAAAGAAAGAAACCAAGTGAGAATTCTAGAACTGCAAACAAAATACAGTATCTGAAATGAAAAAGCCACTGGATGTTCTTACCAGAAGATCAGACACTGCAGAAGATATTAGTGAACTTGAAGACAGGACAGTAGAGCCCATTGAAACCAAAGCACACAGAGGAAAAAGAAAAGCAGAGAAAAAAACAGCCAAAGCCACAGTGACTTGTGGAACAATATCACGTACAGAGGGAGTCCCAGAAGAAGAGAGGGGATTGGGTCAGAAAGAAATAGCTGAAGATACAATGGCTGAGGGTTTTCAAATTTGATGAAAAGTATGAATCCATTGATCCAAGAATATCGAAGAACCCCAAGCAGGATAAACACAAAGAAAACCACACACACCAGGCATGTCAAAATCAAAATGGCTGATAAACCACGATGAATACAAAAAAGTCATACCGCAGCCAGAAATACAAGCACGCATGTGTGCATGGAGGGAAATAACCGCGGGCACGCCCCTAACTTCTCACCGTGCACAGTGGAAACGCCCCCTCTGACAGGCGAGGAGACCGAGGCCAGAGAGGTGAAGGGCTTTCCCGGAGCTGGGTGGAGAGCCCGGTTCAGAGGCTCAACCACTGTGCTTCCCACGAGGCACCGAGCTCGGGAATGGACTGGAAGAGCCCCAAAGCTGGAGGGCCTGGGACAGCAGAAGCCCCCGAGAAGCCAGGCGTGGCTCTGCTCACCACCCTGCCCTGTCCCCCCATCCCCAGGAAGAGGCCACGCCCTCCATGCTGGGCCACCAGCTAGGCCTGCTGACTCTGCTGTGGCAGGACAAGGACGGGGTCACCCGGGATCTCTCCCGCCGCTGTGTCTTCCTCCTCCTCCAGCTTCTGGCTCAGCAGAAGGGTGAGCTGGGCACAGGGGAGCGGGGGCAGAGCCCGGGCCTGGCTCCTCGGCTCCTGGGTCCCCTGCCTCGCTCCTGGCCTGTGAGTTGGGGCAGTACTGCTGGAGGAGCGTGTCACCTCCCCAGGCCAAAGTAGCTCCTCCTGACCGTGAGTCTCACAACAGGGAGGACGGTGGGATTCATGCACCTGAACAAAACAAAGCATTTTGAAGGACGGGCCTCCAGGGCACGGGAGGTGAACGTGAAGCTCCACGATGTGGTGAAGGTGAGGTCTCAGCGCTGGGTGGGCAGGGCTGGCGGCCGGGGGGGGCGCCCAGCAGAGCCCCCAGCCCAGCGCACAGGGGCTGAGGGAGGCCCCGGGCGGCCTGCGCAGGGAGCAGCTGGGCTCCCCTTAGAAACCCACCGCTGCAGCTCCCCCAGCTTGCCCCAGACATGGGCCCGGGCCCGTTCAGAACCGCTGGTCCCAAGGCTCTCACTGGCATCTCCAGGGCCTCCCTCGGGGTCTCTCCCTCCTCTGGCCTCTCCTCTGTCACGAGGCTGACAGCTTGTCTCGGTTTGCTGGGGACTGTCCTTCCCCTAAGGTCTTAGCCCTTCCCCTCAGTCCCTGCCAGCCAGGATGGCCTCTCCCTTCTCCGCCCTCCCTGGCCCACCTCCCCACACGCTTCCCTCCCAGGCTCAGCCCTCCGGGTGGACTGAGATTGAGGGATTGGGCTTGAGTCCAAGCTCCGCCCCTAACTGGCTGTGCCTCAGTTTCCCCACATTCCAAGTGAGGGTCACTTAGGCCTGAGATCCTGCCTGCTGCTGGGACAGGCTGTGATAGAAGCAGTGACACCTTGGTGCAGACGGAGTCCCCTGAGGAGCCATGGGCTTAGAAGCCTGTTGCTGGGAGGGTGTGTTCTCAGGGGAAGTGAGGAGGGAAGCCAGGTGAGGCAAGGAAGGAGCTTGACCAGAGGTGTCTCAAGCCCGGCCCCCAGAGAGCCACGAACTGTGTGCAAAGCGGGCCAGTCATTGCTTGCGGAGTGGGCGTGGGGGGCATCCTGGCACAAGCTGCTCACTCCCACTGGCCCTAGGGCAGCTCTCCTGAGAAGGGGTGCTGTGTGCCTGGCTTGGGGACGGGGACGGTTGGGGCAGGGGCAGTGTCGAGGCAGGGCAGGCCCTTCCCAGGTTCCCAAGGTCTGGGCACATGGTATTCATCTGTCTCTGCTCTCTGGCACAGGCCTTCGACAAGAACCTGACCGTGGCCCAGCACACACAGCTGGTTCTCACGCTCCAGCACAGCCTGTGCAGCCACAGCCAGCCACGCCGCGACCTGGCCTCGCAGCTCCTCCTGATGATCTTCGAGGGGCCTGGACTCAAGACCGAGCAGGTGGGGCTGGGCACCGAGGCCCACTCAGGGTGGGCACCTCCCTGTAGGCACCAGGAGGGGGGAGCAGGGCAGCTGCACACCAGGGGCTGCGTGTACGGGTGTGTCCTGTGTGCCTGCCCATGTGCACATGCCCACACACCACACCTCTTTATGCTGATCACCCTGGGACCCCCAACCCTGGCAGCCTGTGAGGGGGGGGTCCTGAGGGTGCTTCAGGCCCACGGCCCTACCTCCAGCTGCCTCTGCCTGTTGTGGGGCAACCAGGCCAGGCAGCAGGTGTGGCAGGCGGAGGCCCTCACCTCCCCCTGTCCTGCTGGCAGAGCAACAAAGTCACTTCCCGGCCTGGGATCTAAGTACCCCTCAGTCTGGCTCTGCCAACTCAGTTCATGAGCCACCCTGGACACAGATGCTGCAGAGGCTGCCAGGCTGACCCACGTAGGTGCTCCCTCAGGCTCAACCACATGGGCCCCTCCAGGCTTGTCATTCCCGTCTTCATGGGAACAAGCAGGGGGTGAGGGGTACAAATGACTGGGCGTGGCACAAGCATGAGGCCTGGAGCTGGGTCCCACCAGGGATCTGCACGGGGGTCCCTCTGTGGCTGAAGAGATCACAGTTGACCTCCTGGAGCAGGTGGCCCCCTGGCCTGAGCAGGGGCCTGCCTGAGGCACTGTCCACCTCTTCCCTCCCGGCTCAGGTGGCCGAGGTCCTGCATAGCCTGTTCCGGGAGCTGCCGGGCATCACCTTCAGTAACATGCAGGCCATGATGAAGGCCATGACGGCTCTGGGGACCCAGCACACCCAGGAGACAGTTGAGGTGGTCCTGTCCCTGTGCCCCCCCTCGGAGAGGTAGGGCCCTGCCCAGCCCACACACCCAAAGGTGGACATCTGTCCATCAGCATCCGTGCACCCTCCCAGTCCGTAGATGCTTTCTGTACACAGACTCAGTTCCAGACTGTGAGAGGCAGAAAGGCCTAAGAGCACCCACCAGACTCAGCCCTCACTCCTGGACTCCAGATCCAGGGCCAGCAATGTCCCCCAAAGATGCCCTAGGCTGAGGGGGTTAAGGCTGGGGCTCCAGCAGTCTCAGCCGGGAAGCATCCCTCAGACTCAGAGTCCCTGAGGCCAACCTGCTGTCCCAGAGCCCCAGGCGTGTACAACTCCAGCCGCCCCTCTGGGTGACACTGGGTTTCCAAGCTGCATCCTGTGGATGGTGACACCTTGCTATTCACACCCCGGCCCGAGGACCAGCAGCATCAGCATCATCCAGAGCTTGTTAGAAATGCAGAGTCATGGGCCCTGCCTGGCCCTGCTGGGTCAGAAGCTGCAGCCCCAAGTGCTGTGCGAACACTTTGCAGTCTGAGAGGTGCTGGGGACATCGGGCCCTCCTGGGGCTGCACAGCCATTGAGAGGGAGCACGGTGTGACCGGGGATTAGTGAGTTATGCCCACGTGGTTCATGGCTCTGCCAGGCTCTCTCTTGTTCTTGGACTTCCAAGTGGAGACAGGCTGAGGAGTGCAGTGGTTTGCTTGGGGTACATGGCGAGGGGGTGTGAGGTGGGAGTGAGTGTGAGTGTCAGGGAAAACTAGCCTTGCACAGAGCTTCTGGGGGGAACCCAAGCCCCGCTGGCCATCAGAGCAAAGCCTCCGGGACCCCTCCCCAGATGGAGGGATCACCAATCCTGCAGGGCCTGGCCACCTCCACTCTAACGTGCCCAGCAATCCACTCTGCTGATGGCCTGGCATGCAGTGGGTCCTGCTGGCCATCTGCCCACCCACCCAGCATGGCCAGCCAGCAGGTGGGATGGGACCCCTGTCTCCCCAGGCGGATCCTACCCCTGTGGAAAGCCCTGGCTTCCAACAACCGGCTGGCCCGTAAGGTCATCACTCTGCTCTACATGAAGCTGAAGCTGAGGCCCGCAAGGGACCTCATCAGGTCCATGCAGCATACCCAGCTCACCTCTCTGCTGGTGAGCAGCGCCCGTGCCCCTGGGAGACACCCCTGCCCTGTATCCCCACCCGGGTGACCCTCTGTATCAGCATCATCATTTGGGGACCACATGGGATCTCAGGGTGATCCCATACCATTGCCATCATGTGCCTGACCCTCATGGCCCTTGTCACAGCTTGTGACTGCACATTCGCAGGTGGGCACTGCATTGCCCTGTTCCAGGAGTCCCTGCCCCTGCACACATCAGGCCCACCAGGTACCTGGCGCATTAGCTGACTGGCAACCTCCGCACAGGGCCTTGCTGTGGTCACTAGTGCCCATCTCTCCATGAGAATGCCCTGCTTTGCACGTCCTGCCAGACAGGAACCCTAAGCGTCACACACACTCACAGGAAGGGGTTAGTGGGGGTCTGTTAGCAAACAGTGGAGAGGCCAGGCTGCCCTCCTGGGACTCCCAGTCAGTGAACAACACAGTGTCACAACCTGTCGGGGTGACAAAAACAGGCAGAGCAAAGGGCGTGGAGAGGCTGTTGGGCTTGCTCGCAGCTGGCAGGAAGCAGCAAGGGCGGGTGTGGGGCGAAGATGGTCTGTGGTGGCGGGTGGTCTGGGAAGGGCCTCCTCACCGGCAGGACACCCAGAGTGAGCAAGAGAGGCCCAGGCAGAAGGTCGCCTGAGGAGGGAGTTGAGCCAGGGAAAAGGAGGCCAGCTGTGTGGCTGGCCAGCAGAGACGAAGCCAGGAGCTCAGGGGCCCGGCCCTGGGGCAGGACAGGGGCTGGGCGGGGCCAGCCTCTCAGGCCCTGCCTCAAGGCTGCTGCAGGAGTGGGGTGGGAGCCCACCCAGGTCCAGCCAGAAGTGGCCAAGAGTTCTAGAAGGTGAATCCCACGGTGGGGCCAGGCGTAGGCAGTGGGGCCCTGGGGACAGAGTCTCCATGTGGAGTGTGGTTGCTACTCCCACCTGCCCTGCTCACTGGGTGCCATCTGGGCCCTGCTCTGTCCCGCTGCAGGCCCTGGGCACCATTTACGAGCTGCTCTACACCCAGGAGTGCAAGCCCGCAGTCCACTGGGCCTTTGCAGGGATCCTCCTGGGTCTACTTACGCAGCTCCACTACCTGTTTGAGCTGGGCATGGTTGAGGGCATCTCGGACTACCAGGAAGATGTCCTAGAAATGAAGCCCCTCAGCCCCTGCAGGTGAGCCATTCTCAGGACTCCTCCCCACCCCTCCTCCTGGCTCCTCCCACACCCCCACAGAGCCCCTGCTGGACAACATGCCCTGGGCTAGGTAAATGCTAGGGACCCAGGAAAGGAATGGGGACTCACAGCCCAGGCTGGAGGAGAGGGGACAGAGCATCCACCCGCTGTCAGGAGTGGGCTCCTGAGTGAGGGGACACCAGGTCCCAGGTGGGGAATGAGCCCCTTGCCTTGACTCCACCTCCCCCAAATGACCCTCCACTGCCCCAGGACGTGCCTAGAAGCCCTGAAGGGCCTCTTCTGGACCACCAACTACTGGGAGGTGTTCGCCTACCTCAAGCTGCTGCAGGGCTGGGAGCTCTTTGAGCATCTGGAAACCTACACAGAGGGCGTGACCCTCTTGGCCCGGTGAGCACTAGCCTGGGTGCCCTCTGCCTGCGAAGGATTGCAGACAGTTAGCAGACCAGGCCACACCCTGATGGGGCACCCGATGCCAGACTTAGTTGCCAGGATCAGCTCCCTAAGTTATTGAGGACTGCAGGGGAAGGGGATAAGGGGGACCTTTGGGACCCTGTGCCTGCCTCTTCCCTCTGACAGGGCCATGGCCCACTATGACTGTGAGGTCAAGGCTGTCTTGGGGCAGGCGGTCATCTCCATGAAGAGCAGAGAGGAGCGGGACAACGTCGTGGCCATTCTCGTCATCACAGAGGTCAGCCTCTCCCCAGCCCCGCCCATCCTTGCTCCTCACCAGTGCCCCTGCCCCTTGGGAAGAAGGTCCAAGAGCTGGACTTGCTTTCCGTCCTCCAATACGAAAGCGTCCTAACTCCTGCCTCGCACGTCGGATCTGCCAGCTGTCTGGAAGTGCTTCTTTCCGTCTAGCCCCCTATCTCCTGCTGCAGCATGGCTGATTTTCCCTGGAAGCCTCAGTTGACTGGTGGGCTGACTCTGCCCACCCTGCCCAGTTTCTCAACAGCCCAGTGGTCTCCCAGCATGTGTCTCGGAGAAGAATGGACAAGTTCCTGAGCCTGGGTCTGCACAACCCCAACCAGCTTGTGCGGGCCATGAGCCTGAAGGGCCTCAGCAGTGCCCTGATGCACCCTGAGAAGGTGAGAGGGGGAGGATGTGGGGACATCTGGGGGAGATGCCCACTTCAAATCTTAGGAAAGCTACAGGGAGGAGAGGGCATTTGAAAAGAGCCTCCCTGGTAGGTGGACTTGGAAGGGGTTGATGGGGAGAGCAAGTCAGGCCTGGGGACAGAAGGCAGCAGAGTTTGGGAGACCCTGCTGCTGTGCATAGGGCTGGGGTTCTGGAGTGTCTGAGCTGGAGGGAGCTCTGAGATCGGTGACTTTGGTCCCCTTTCCGGGTAGGAGTCCCTTACGCGGCAGCATCTCTCAGGTCCTTTGTTCATGCTCCACATGGCCTGGAGGACTCACCCCTGCTGGAAAGCGGGTGTCCTTCCCCCGCTGCGCTGTGGGCCTCCCAGAACACATCGTCCCCTCATGACGCCGACTGAGGGCTGGGACTGAGGCCCCCAGCTTTGCTCCTCAGATAAACTGCTGTGGTTTTATCCATTTCCCTGGCCAGTGAGAAAGGGAGGCAGGGAGTGGGCTGGGAGTGGCCTCGGTCCGGGACTCAACCCAACTCTGTCCATCCACTCAGCAGTCACTGGTGCAGCTCTGAGCTGCGCTTGGAGATGAGCAGATACAGCACCTGCTCAGGAAGCCCAAAGCCCACCCCGTAAGGGAAAGCTTGGTGGGGGGCGACCCCAAGTGAGTGCGGGCAGAAGTGGGCAGGGCTGCACGTGCAGTGGCGTGGTCTCCCACAGCAGTGGCGTGGTCTCCCACAGGGGGCCCTGCTCCGGGACCAGCTGACAGGGCTGCTGGAGAGCTTCCTGAAGCCCGAGCCCAAGGACCCCTCGGGCCTCATGGAGATCCTGGGTGACATCCTGCACCGCCTGGGAGTCCAGAGAGCTGGTGTCATCAGCCTCAAGATTGCACAGCACCTGCCCCCCTTGTTTGAAGATGTGAGCGGGGACCTCCCAAGGGCCGCAGAGGGGTGGCGGGTGGGTCCCCTGCCAGCCAGGCACCTGTGCAGTCTCGCCCAAGCCCACCTTCCTGGGCTGTGGGTTGCTATGCTGGGGGGATGGGGGATGCTGGCGGGCAGGGATCCTGGCCCTGGAGCCGGGCCTGCCCACGCAGGAGCTTCGTTCTTCTGTCCTCTGGCCAAGGGCCACGCTGCCCTTGGGCTTCCCATCTCCACTCCATGGAGCCGCTGGCACTCCCCAGGGCCAGTGGGGGCTGACGAGGTCCTCCAGCCAGGGAGATAGGGCTGGGGGTTGCGGAGGGGAGAGGGCAGGGGTAGCAGTTTAGAAAGACCCATGGCAGGGCATGGAGGCAGAGAAGCCTGGGGCAGGGAAAATGATTTCAGGGCTTTTGAATAAACTAGGTGAGGTAAGGGGTAAGGGGGGCTTAAGGACCTGAGGGGCCCCTCAGAGACTGGTTGTCACTGGGGCGTGGGAGAGGGAGAGCGGGGTGAGCCCCGCCAGGCGGGCAGGTGGCAGACGCTGCAGCTCCTGGAGGTGCAGGAGAGGGTGGGGAGGCGGCTCGGGCTGCGGCGTGAGCACTGGGAGTCAGTCGCCATTGCGGGGACTGGCCTCGGTCTTCTCCATGACCCAGGGCAAAGGCGCTGTGATTAGGCACCATTCACCCACGGTGAAACCAAGTCACACAGTGAAGGTGCTTGCCCGGGGTCATGGAGCTGGAAAGGGGCAGACCTGGCATGAGGCGCAGCTGCCAGCAGCCCCAGGCCTCCCGGGGAAACCCAGAGGAGACGAGCTGTGGGGGAGAGGCCTGCGGGAGATGGGAGGGTGGCCAGGGGCAGGGAAACCAGGGGCACTGCAGCCCCAGACGGCGGTGAAGGAGCCATTGGAGGCGGAGGGAGGGGCTGGCTGGGGCTGGGGCTGCCTGGAGGGCAGGGTCGTGGACTCAGGAGCGCCGCTGGCCCCAGCCAAAGGGACCGGAATCAGGACAAGCACTTGGCTCCTGGAGCCTCTGGGCAGGAGGGGGTGGGAGAAGGGCTGTGGCCGGAGAGGCTGCATGGGGGTGGACGGGCCACTGCCTGAGGGCCGGCCTGCCGTCTCCCCAGGAAAGGGAAGAGGTGCGCGGAGGAGCCATCTTCCTGTTCGGACATGTCATCCACGGTGGAGGCAAGAGGTTCCAGCAGGCGCTCAAGACCATCGCCTCCCAGGTCCTGGTGCCACTGCTCTTCCACCTGGTCGACCCCTGCCCTGGAGTGGTGAAGGTGAGTGGGCTCAGGCCGCACCAGGGTGGCCGGGGGGCGGGAACGGGAGGAGCCCGTGCTGGCAGGGCTGGTCAGGCAGCTCAGGAGCCTCCACCCCGGGGAGCAGAGGACAGAGTGAGGCTGCTGTCCTGGAGGGGCTGCCCGGGCCAGGTAGGGAGGGCTGTGCCTGGCCAGACAGGCAAATGGGCAGACGGAGAAAGGAGAGGACTTGTCCAGGTGGTGCTTCCTGCAGCCACCTGCCTCCAGGTCCTCCATCCCGACCCTCCTCCATAGACCAGGACCTGGAGACCTCCACTGGCTTCAGACCCCCCCCCCATGCACCCCCCAGGCCTGGGGAGCCTGGCCTCCAGGGTCCTTCTCATGCCTCCATTCTCCCCTCCCGGGACCAGTGTGCAGATCACGCCCTCTGTGACAGTGCCCACCACACCCTGTCTGCCCGATGCCCCAGCCTGGAGGGGACCCTGTTTAATTCCACAGAGGATCTGCAGGGTGGCCCTGAAACTGCAGCCCTGGACTGTGGCCGTGTCACATGGGCCCCAGGGTTCACTGGTATGCCTTTGTGAGGTGCCCCTTCTCACCTCTGCATGGACACCCGCTTGTCACCGGAGACCTGGCCTGGTGCCACTCCTCAGGGAAACCTTGCAGCCTGCACCCCCCACCCACACGCCAGGCAATGTCCCTGCTGGCCGTGGGCGCCCACTCTCTGTGTAGACCACTCCTCCAGCATTAGCCTCAGAGCCTGTCCACACCATCATCCCAGGCCTCCTCCTGCCCTCCCCCCACCCCCACTGCCCCTTCTTGAGCTCTCAGGGAACCCCCTAGAATTCTCATTTCTTCCTCACAAACTGGCTTACCTCAGTCTCAGGCTCCCTTCCTGCTGGTGCCCCAGATCCATCAAACCTAAGGGCCCTGTGGACACTCCACTGGGCTAAAAGAGGGTCTGCCTCACGGCTGTGTCTGTAACACCAGCCCCAGCCCAGAGCCAGCACCAACAGTTGCTGAGTGAGTGCGGGCCAGAGTGAAGGGATGGACGGAGGGACACTTGGACAGTTGAGGGGTGGCTGGACACATGGACGATGGAGGGGAGGATGGATGGATGATGGAAGGACACGTGGATGATGGAGGGGTGGATGGATGGATGATGGATGGACACATGGACGATGGAGGGGTGGATGGACACATGGACGATGGAGGGGTAGATGGACACATGGATGATTGAGGGGTGGATGGACACATGGACAATGGAGGGGTGGATGGACACGTGGATGATGAGGGGTGGATGGACACGTGGACAATGTAGGGGTGTATGGACACATGGATGATGGATGGGTGGATGGATGGATGATGGATGGACACGGACGATGGAGGGGTGGATGGACACATGGATGATGGAGGGGTGGATGGATGGATGATGGATGGACACAGACGATGGAGGGGTGGATGGATGGATGATGGCTGGACACATGGACGATGGAGGGGTGGATGGACACATGGATGATGGAGGGGTGGATGGATGGATGATGGATGGACACAGACGATGGAGGGGTGGATGGATGGATGATGGCTGGACACATGGACGATGGAGGGGTGGATGGACACATGGATGATGGATAGGTGGATGGATGGATGATGGCTGGACACATGGACGATGGAGGGGTGGATGGACACATGGATGATAGATGGGTGAGTGGATGGATGATGGCTGGACACATGGACGACAGAGGGGTGGATGGACACATGGATTCTGGAGGGGTGCTTGGATGGATGATGGCTGGACACATGGACGATGGAGGGGTGGATGGACACGTGGATGATGGAGGGGTGGATGGACACATGGACGATGGAGGGGTTGATGGAAGATGGATAGACACATGGATGATGGAGGGGTGGGTGGATGGAAGATGGATGGACACATGGATGATGGAGGGGTGGATGGACACGTGGATGATGGAGGGGTGGATGGACACATGGACGATGGAG